CACAAGAGAGCTAAAACTGCTGCCATACCTTGTGGAGGAAGAATCTCCTCTTTGTGAGCGCTACAGGATGCTTTTGTGAAACTTGTGTAAGACCTTGAAATACTAGTTTGTATGTGAGTAGCTTCACAAAAGGTTTCATTATAGAAGAACGCGTTCCTTAGCTTGCAAAACTCGCTTTAGAGCAGATTAGTCCTGTGGGAGATTAGCTCTTAAATGAGTCTGCGTTTTTGGACTTAAGCCTTTATCACCGGGCGGTGGAGTGGCTGGTGCTCTGCCACGGACCTCTGTGGGAAGGGGGGGGTCTGGACCCCAGGCTCACCGTGAAAGCCAAGGTCTCAGAAGCACCGATACAGACGGATGCTGGTGGAGAAACTCTTCTGAGCTGAAGAGCAGGTTTGGGCATCTCACCTCCGCTGGGCTGACTTCTGATCCTTGGCTTTTGGGCTGTCCCCCGCATGGCTCCACGGGTCCGTCGCAGGGCAGCCAACGAAAGCTTTGCGTAGCTCCGAGGCAAGACAGCGCTGTGGACAGTCAGGTCTCAAATACCGCCTTTCTCAAAGCCTTCCTGGGAACGTGGACCTGCAGCCCTCCCTGCTGCTGGGTGACTGCTGGAGGGGCTACGTGAGCCTGCCCGTGGGGCCAAACACAAGTGTCTGCAGGCCGGTGGCTCACTGACTTCTGGTCTCACTGGTGACCTGCTAAGCCACGGCAGCCGTCTTCAGCTGCTTCAGCAGCACTGCTGGCCCCGAGCCCATAAATCCCAACGGATCTTGCCTCGCACTCTCTCACCCCAGGACTCCAGACACCCGTAAGTGCCTCCAGTCCGTGTCATCTCCTCCTGGATGACTTCTGAGGCTGGCTCCTGCGGGCAGTAACTCCTGTGCCAGCTGTGGCCTCTGTCAGAGGTTGCTCCTCAGCCCGGAAGCCTCCAGTTTTTTTCCCTTGATGGGTTCCTGTTCACCCGGATTAGCGATTAAGACAGCTTTGCTCCTGTTTCTGCCGGAGGAGTTTGACCTGAGTGCGTTTGCTCTTGCCTTTCTTCATGGCCAGTAACCGAGCGCTGTAATCAGCACTACGTATGCTCAGCTGGTGTGTACGTGCCGGTGCCAACACGTGCGTACCTATAGATAACGATGTCCATCCTGCGTTCCGTGTCTCCAGCCCAGTGACTGAAGCTCCTGGTGACAGTAACCCTATGCTTGTAAATATTGTAACTCCAGGCAGCCGTGTGTTTGTGTGCTAAATGTGTTTTGTCAAATCCTTTAGTGAACTTTGAAGCCCTGATCATTGCGATGTCCGTGGTGGGAGGAATGATCCTCATCACGTTGGGGGTCTGCTGCTGCTGCTGTTGTAAGAAAAAGAGCAAAAAGCAAGTATTGGAGGGGTTCCCTGTTTTCTCGGAGTAGCTCAGATGCAACCACGTGCTGTTGCAGAACTGAGTGCCGAGCGCTGCTAACGGGCTCTTCTGTCTGCCAGGCCAGACAAGGATGACGAGAGGGCGGCCAGGGAGCGGGAGAAGCGGCGGGTGCGGC